ACTTTTTACATGTGGAGGAAAATACATTTATAACTGATATGAAGAAAGGACACTGACAATACACAGACAGATAAAACAGAGCTGAAAGCACAGACCAACCACCCTCCTCCAAGTATCTGCTTATTGTGTTGCTGCTGGTTAGCAGCAGCAGCAACCAACCACCTACAGGCAAAGTAGCACATTGACTGACAATGACTCCTGGTGGTGAACAGGAGTCATGTTTTCAGTTTTTCTTCTAATGATGTTCTTTGGATTGAATTTAGAAAATATATTTGGTTTTTATAGTTATCTTGAACAAAACAGAAATCATCACATTGTTTGGAGCAATTTTCCCAAAAAGATTTTTATGAAAACACACATGGAGAAAATAAAAACATTAAAAAGTATAACTTAACAAATAAACACTTGGGTCAGTGACTGAAAAGTAATGATAAAGTTTAAGATGTTACTATTTCAAAATAAAATCTCAATCACAATCAAACATTACAGTGGAGTGAATACGTTTGAAGAATTCCTGAAGTAGCTGTAACCTGTGACACAAAGGTGTACATTTGATAGTATGCAAGAAATCAAAACCTTTGCCTGCTATACTATAAGTACAAAATGTAATTGTGAATAAATAAAAAATGTTCCCAAATCATTTTCACTTCACTAAAATGTTTCAGCTTAAATGCACTCCTGCATTTGCTGTGTATATGATTGAGTTACAGACCACTGGGCACAAATGTTTGATGGGCCCTAGCACCTGACATGACTACTGCTTTCTCAAACTGTCAATCCAAATACTGACATCATTACTCTGGTCCAATCATCTTCTCGCTTGCCTTCTTTGAGCCAATTAGCCTCTGCTTTGCATGGTTTAAATTGGTGCTCTCCATCCTTCTTCCTTTCAGACTCCTCCCCATTGCTATCTCAGACACAGAGGAGTTCTGTCCTACCTTGATGAAAATACAAACTTCCTCGATCTAAATGACACAAAGTAAAGTTTGGGAGTTTGAGGCTCCCAGTGAGCAGAGGGTAATCCAATATAAATCCATCTACTTACCAAGTTTACACTGGGACATGTGTCTTTTTTTATTCTGTTTTTTTGTAACAATGGTGATTTGAGTGTAAAAAAATATGAATTAATGAAGTTTAGTTTAAGGTGGGACACAAAGATCGTGTAGTGACTTAGCTATTCATGGAGATACAACAATGTACAGTGTTGTGAAAAAGTACTTCTTTTCTTCATTTTTTGTGATTTTGTCACAAAAATGACACGAGTAAGTAGAAAATGTAGTTTTTTATGTTGATCGTTGATGATGATTTAATTTATTAAGGGAAAAAAGCTATCCAAACCTAACTGGCCATGTGTGAAAAAGTAATTGCCAGTGCCATCCTTGGCATAAAGAACTGCAATTAAGTGTGATAACCAGTAATGAGTCTTTCACATGGCTGTGGAGGAATTTTGGCCCACTCATTGAAGAATTGTTTTAATTTAACCACAATGGAGTGTTTTTGAGCATGAATGTCCTGTTTAAGGTCATGCCAAATCCTCTCAATCAGACTCAAGTCCATATTGTGACTAGACCACTCCAAGACCTTTGTTTTGTTGTTTGAGCTATTCAGTAGGAAGTTTGCTGTTGTGTTTTGGATCATTGACCTGCTTCCTAAGCTGTGTGCACTTGAGCTTCAGAGCACAAATTGTTGGCCACACAGTCCTTCAGGATTTTCTGGTATAGAGCAAAATTCATGGTGTGGCACTGTTTTTTACTTCAAGTCATGTTTCTATTGCTATTGCATTATGCTAATATGCGTTTTAAACTAAACTACAGTGTAGTTTAGTTTAGTTAAGGTTAAACTAAACTAAACTTTGGCCCATCTTGGAAGACAGAAACAACCAGTTTACTGCCAACACTTACTTATCACTCATGCTTTCGCTTATGTCCAGATCTGTCCTGCTTCCACGGCATCTCCACACCAGACTAGCAGCTATTTATAAACACAATATTCTCAAAACATTTTGGGAATTTTTACTTTTACACAAAGTGATCACTAAAATTCTCATTTTGCTGTAAACGAATTATTTCATTAAAGCTGAAGAACAGCAAATAAAGTGTCATTTTCATATTGACAAATTGATAAATATATATTTTTTAAAAAGTGAACTCTGAAACCAGAAAATTGAATATGAAAAGTTGAATTATTGACATGCGCAGTATTAGTTGGAATACATTTAGCTTTCAATAGTCCCTCTGTGCATTACATTAATGAATATATTATTTCATAATATTACAGTTTTTTCTGATTGCTTAAGCACATTTTTTGTAACTATTGGCTATTTTTGCAAAACTCTACACACAAATAAGAAAACCTGT